CCTTCCTTCCTTCCTTCCTTCCTTCAAGCCAATCCCATCCAATCCCTGTCTCCATGCATCTATGCCTCCTCATGAATCCGCCACCAAAAAAGTCTTTGGCCACCCCACACAGGCGGCCGTTCCCAGCGCGCTTTGCCCAGCTTCGGAGGGTGGGACCGCGTCCTGCGCGTCTTGAGACTCAATGCAAAGCGATCTCCGACCAAAGGTCTTGGAGACACCTTGAATTTCCAGACCCCTGGGAATGTCCAGGAAATCGGATCTGCTTTTCACTCACCTTCGCTGCATGACGCTCCAGCCCTGGAAGGTTTGTGCTGGTGGAAGAACGAGGGAGCCATCGGGAGCCGGGCCTTTGCAAGCTTTGAGGCGACCGCTTCTTGGTCTCATGCAGCCTGAGGCACAACGAATACAGCACTGGTGTCCAGCTGGACCTTTGTTCAGACTCTAGGTCCTTCCGAAAGAACTACTTGGCCACGTGTCGATGACTTGCATGTGTGGAGGACAACGAAGAAAACGCCAAAACGTAGCAAAACGCGCCTAAACGCGGTGCGGGTCCGGTGGTGCCTCTTCCGCCATGAAACGAGCTGCTCCCCAAGGAGCTCTTGTGGGGGCACCAGCATCTCAAACTGCTCTGGGGCCTCACACCGCCTTGGAGCATGAGACTGAACCCTCACACCGCCTTGGAGCATGGCCTTCTGGAGGTTGGTAGAAGATATGACCATCCTCTACCATCCTTGGGCTGCAATGACCTTGCTAGTCATCAAACATGGTCTCAATCCATCAGTGGCACAAAAATACACTTAAAGATACATGACAACATGACATCAGTGCACCCCAGAAATCAAGAGACCTTACCGTATGTGTTGCTTGTGCAATCTTTGTATCCCAAGCTTGGATCCCAAAATCTCCCTTCGGTCTCGGTATGTTTACGAAGACGATCAGGGGACACCCCAATTAGCTAGGGACTGAGATGAACCCATCTGCACAGCCTATGAGTCTATGAGTTTCATCTGAAGGGCGTCGATGGAGTCATGATGATTCATGTGCCCATGTGCTAAGCCTCATAGGAGTCTCTTTGAGTTTCTTTCCACCAAGCTTCTGCTCCCACAACTCTCGGGAGGCCCATTGCTCCATAGAGAGCTCCTGGCGTGACCCACCACGTCAACACGTAGG